CTAATAATATTGGCAGTCTTCTGGTTGCCCTACCCTAGAAATAATGAAAAAATAGGCTCTTCCGAGAATGCTTATGAATTAAGGGTAGACTCATATCCATAGTACCCCATAACTACCTCAGAGATGCCTGACAAACAAGAATAATAGCGATCATAATAGCAACAACAATCATGGAACTGGTCTGGTATGTCTGGAGTAGGAGTTATAGCCCATTGGAGGATACAGAAATCACGTTAGTAGTTTTGACCAGATTTTTAAAAAAGAAACTAGACAGCAGCATAAAAACAAACAAGTATATTGCATGTAATAAGCCTAAGTGTTGTTTTATGAAACTTGTGTTTGCTTTCTCTGGGTGTGGGAAAGAGACATGAGGTAATGAACTGAAAACCACTGATCTAATCTACACGTATCATTGGAGAGGTGATGTTCAGAAATGCTTAAGCATACCCAGCTGGTTAATGGCAAAGCTAGGAGGAGCAGAAAGTTCCCAATCCCTAGGCTGAGTCTAGTCCATCAGAGGTTTTGGCTTGCAGTCAATCTCAGAGAGGAAGAGAGAACAGAGTTAGGGAATAGAAGGTGCAGCTGGATGTTGGAGCAGGGATGGGATTGGTAGATTTGGGGTGCATCTTTTAACCTAAGCCAAGTTAAACTGCTAACTGTACTGTGGGCATATTGTACATTTGGGATATTCAGGTTTTTTACTTGTCATTATCTCCTCAAAATAATAACCGAGGAATACCTACAAAGTATTCAAATTGAGTTGTCACCAGAAATCTTTTTTTTTTTTTTTTTTTTGGCAGTACTGGGGATCTAAACTAGAGCCTGGTACATGCCAGGTACCACCGGCCTAAAAGTTTCATTGAGTGTCTTATTTCATCCCTAATCCAGTTGTACCAGGCAGAATAGATGGAAAATGAATGACTGATGGGTGCCTAAGCTACTGCTGTAAGGCAGCGTGGATTGAGTTGTCCTTGCTAAGAGGGTAGAAAAAATACTTTTTGATACTAGGAAATAAAAATATTATTACACCTTAAGTTACTGAGGCCTGTTGGGAAGCCAGGGCAGCACCCAGGCCTGTCTGACCCTCAGGCAAGCCAAGTGGTCCTCACCATGGGTTCTAAAGACTGGGTTGGTGGGCCAGTGTGCACTGGGAGTGGGCACTCATTCCCTCACACTGATTGGGAGTCGCCTGATGGCAAAGTGCTAGGATATCAAAAGCACTCTAAGAAACCAGGGATGCAGCTCAGCTCAGTGGTAGAACTAGTCCTCTGCTGAGCACAGCTCACTCAAGCAAGTGGGCTGATGTCTTCAGGAAGTGATTCCAGTGATCTGTTAAAATGCAAGCGTAGGGCTGGTGGAGTAGAGTATCTCAAGCAGTAGAGCACCTGCCTAGCAGGTGTGAGGCTCTGGTTCAAAGAACCCAGTACCACCAAAAGAAAAAAAAAAGTTAAATAGCCAGGTGCACCGGTGGCTCACGCCTGCAATCCTAGCTACCTAGGAAGAAAAGATCAGGAGGATTGAGATTCCCCTAGGCAAACAGTTTGAGAGATCCCATCTCAAAAATACTCAACACAAAAAAGGATTAGTGGAGTGGGTCAAGTGATAGAGCCCCTGCATAGCAAGCCTGAGGCCCTGAGTTCAAGTTCCAGTACTACAAAAAAATATGCAGGGCTGGGGGTGCAGTTCAGTGGTACAGCTCTTGCCTAGCATGCCCAGGGCCCTGAGTTTGATCCCCAACTGGAAAAATAATAAAATAAAAAAAATGTATATGTTCCCAGCACTGGGGACAAGTTAAGTTAGCTAAATGATGTAATGGTACCAGATTTAATCCTAAAAGCAGATTGGAGTGAGATAGCAGAGCAAGGACTGATCTAGAAATTTGAAGACTGATTTCAAGAAGAGGAGAGAAAAAGGAAGGTGCTACTGTTGCTCAGGATGAGCACCGGCCTCTTCACAGGGTCACTCACTCTGGGTCATGCACAGAGTTCTCTGGGAAGCCTGTGAAGATGCTGACTCTGGTACAGAGGTCTGGGGTGGGGCCCAAGATTCTGCATTTCCAGTAAGCTCCCAGACTATGCCAGTGTTCCCAGTCCAAGAAGCACTAGTATAGCCAGGTCTGCACCATTCCCACCAGACCTTCTCTGTGTGCCTCAGGACTCTGAGGGTAAAAAAAAAAAGAACAAGGGGAAGGTTGGCTCAAATGGTGGAGCATGCTTGTTCCAGGCTCTGGATTCAATCCCCAGTACAGCAAAAAACAAACTACAACAATTAAAACCCAAAAGACAAAGTAGAATTGGTCTGTTTGCCCCTCTCTCACCTTCTGCTCTAATACATGTGACATTTTTCTGCATAAAAATGGGTAGTATTTAAACATAGACATGTTGGAGACCTGTCATCAAACAAAGTATAGAAATTGACGTTTGTAATCTCATTAACAGGAGGCTACTAGAAGTGTTTATTCAAAAGATAGTGGGTCATTAATAAGTGTCATAAATAAGTCAGTTTGTGATAATATAAATGAGAATAAAAGAGGAAGAAAAATATCTTGGTTTTTTTTTTTAAAGAAATGTAGTCACTTAAATGTTAAGAAATATCTTGTCATGGGAATGTTTTAAGCACACTTTTCTGATGCATTTAATCTAAACAGACTCAAAAACATCACACACGTCAGCCAGTCTTGTTGACGTAAGTAAAATAAACCAAATTCTCTCTTTGCTTGCCAGACTCCCCTCCCTTAACCCTCGACTTAACAAGGCAAGTTTTCATTTAAATTCTTTTAAAGTGTGTGTTAAGAACAAAACAAGGAAGCTTCTTTTTGGATAGGCAAGCATTGAAATAATTTTTTAAGTATTAAAATGCAGATTAAAGCAATAGGAAGTAATATACTTTTTTTTTTTTCTTGAATGTTTTCAAGTTTGGGAAGCAAAATAAAAAATGACCCTGACCTTATAGAGAGCCCTTAGGGTTAAAAATCCATGCTATTTACAGGAAAGACTGTGATAAAATTTTAGTTGGGAGACAGGTACAATTCTAGCGTTAGATCATCATATAATTATCATATGACCACTGGGCAAAAGAACAGAGCTGTTTTTCTTCTGAAACACATGTTTTTATTGATGTTCTTAAGTAAGAAAAGTTATCTGAATGCCCAATCCCATTAAATGTCTTTCCAAGTTTCAATGTTGTCCTGATTTTTCTTTTTTCTTAATTAAAAAATGGGGCTGGTGTAATGGCTCAAGAAGTAGAGCACCTGCTTAGCAAGCAGAAGTTCCTGAGTTCAAACCATAGTACTGCCAAAACAGAAAAAAACAAAAAACAAAAACCTATTTTCTTAAGTAATTTTTTTCACATTTGTACATGAATTAGCTTTGTTTGTTACTGTAAGAAATTACCAAAAACTTAACTGTTTAAACGTTACTTGTATTGTGTTGCAGTTTTCAGATAAGAAGTCTGACACAGGCCAGACTTCAAGGCACTGGGTGAGGCCTGTCATTTCTGAAGGCACTGGAAACAACCCATTCCCTTGCCTTTTAGGCTGCTTGCTAGCGGAAGTCACATTCCTGGATGGTGGATCCAACCCCACCTTCAAACCTCAATGGCTGAATGGCCCCTACTCTTCTGCCTGCCTCTCCCACTGTTACTGACTTTGTGGTTACACTGAAATCACCCAGATAATTTAGGGTAGTCTTATTTTAAGGTCAGCCAATTAGCAACCTTCAATCCCCTTTGCCATGCAGCGTAACATATTCTCAGCTTTAGGATGAGGGTGTGGCTGTTTTTTGTATGAGTGTGTTTTGGAGGAAAGAGGGACAATTCTGCTGACTACACTAAGTATTGCCAGTATTTTAAGAAGAATCTAGAGAAGACTGTTGCAGTTTGAGTACATTATGTCAAAAGATTGCATTAGTCACTGGTGAAAAATGCAGCTCTAATGAAGCAAAGTATGCCTCTTTCAGTACGATTTTATTGACTGCCATATATAGAACTCCTTTTCCAGGAGTTAAGTGAGCCCTTTGATTTCTGTGACTTGTCCAAGATTTATGGAGTAGATTATTTGAGATGGCTTAACACTGTTTCTCAAATGGGATGATTTTGTTCCCCATGGAAAATGAGGCAGTGTCTGTAGACTTTTTTTTTTTTGGCAGTAATGGGGTTTTTTTTTCTTTCTTTCTTTCTTTTTTTTTTTTGGCAGCACTGGGGTTTGAACTCAGGGCCTCATGCTTGCTAAGCAGGCACTTTACCACTTGAGCCACTCCCCAGCCCAGTAGTGGGATTTGAACTCAGGACCTTGTGTTTGCTAGGCAGGTGCTCTACTACTTGAACTACACATCCAGCCTTTTTTGCTCTGGTTATTTTGAAGATAGGGTATCACTTTTTGCCTAGGGCAGCCTGGACCTCAGTCCTCCTATTTGAAGCTTCTTGCTATAGCTGGGATGACAGATGCACACTGTGCCCAGCCCTTTCTGTTTAGATGGGGTCTTGTGAAATTTTTTTTCTTTTTTTTGGCCTGAGCTGGCCTGGAACCAGATCCTCCTGATCTCAGCCTCCTTCATACCTTGGGATGACAGGGGTGTGCCACCATGTGCAGCTATTGGTTGAGGTGGGGTCTCCCTAACATTTTTGGAAAGATGGCAACCTAAAGTACCTCTCCCCCACCCTCTTGTTTGGAGACTTAACTCCTTACATGTCAGAGAATTAGATATAATGCTAGTATCTAACTAGTGATTTGATATTAATATATTGATTAGAATTATATTCACATATTTATTTGTATATTGATTAAGTTAGGTGTTATACCAATTAGGTAATAATGAGTTGGCAGTTAAAAATTTGGTCAAAAGATCAGTTGGCAGAAACATGATGGTGGATCAGTACACAGCAATCTGAGTGAATGTGAAAAACAACAGACCAAAAGAAAATAAGCAGGATTTGGAGACTGAATGAGGAAACTGACGCCCTTTTTTCTGGTGGTTTCTCACTCTACTTTCTCTACATTGCAGGAGTCCCTGGCGCCATGCCAAATGCATCTTGGACTGGCAACCTCAGGGCTGTAAAGTGGATTGACATGGAAGACAAACATGGAGGTTGCCATGGTGAGACATTTGTGTCATGCTCTTAAGCCTTACTACTGGTTGGTGTTGGCCTGAGGCTATTTGTGGACCGAATATGGGGGTTCTTGTGTAAAGAGAACTGTTGGGCTGCCAATCTGCTGGGTATTGAATAGAAAAGCCAGAGACTTCAGCACATAGTCTCTTGAAAATAAGTTGAAAAATCTCAGGCATTCTCCAGCTTACAATTACTAGGGAGATGGAGAAGTAGTTTCAAATTATAATCTCTTTCTTCTTGCTAGTTTTAGCTTTCTTATTTATTATTATTCTTTTTGGGATTGCAGTGGCTAGAAAAAATGTCATGTTCTCCTAGCAGAGTATGTCATATCAGCCTCTGAACCCTGCACATATAGGCTTCCAAGTGGCTTGGAGAACAGGACAGCAGTAAGTGTTGACCACAGCTCTGGCACAATGGCAGGTAACATTAAGGTCAGAGGGGTCTCCTCCCTTCACATGGACAAGGAGTAGAAGTCCTAAGTCACTTTCATTTCTATAGACTCTTATCATATGACAATAAATCAGCCCTGTCAATGATTCCATTCAGAACACTGCCTGCTACCTTGTGGGCATGGGTAACACTCTGCACGAGCTGCCATAACAAAGTAGCACAGACTGGGCAGCTTAAACAACAGAAATTCATTTTCTTAAAGTTCTGGGGGCTGGAAATCCAGATCAAGTGTCAGCAGAGTTGGCTTTTCCTGAAGCTTCTCCCTTGGCTTGTAAGTGGCCATCTTCTACATGGGCTCACATGGCCTTTTCACTGTGTCTGTGTTCTAATTTCCTCTTAGACCAGAGAGCTCTGACCCAGTCAGAGTAGATTAGTTCCCACCCTAGTGACTTCAGGTTAATTTAATTACCTCTATAAAGACCCTACCTCCACTCTGAGGTATGGTACATTAGAATTCAACATATGAATTTGGAGGAGCACACCATTCAGCCTATCTGAGCACGATAAAAGAGTTTCACTGAACATTTATTCAGTGAGTGAGTGATTCAGAGAATGAATGAGTGAGCATATGGAGGTTTGGCCTTTTCTCCCTGTGCTAACATGCCTTCGCCTCCGCTGTTCAGTCAGTCTAGCTTTTGCTCATCAATCTGTCATATGTACACCTGTGTCAGTTGAAAACCTTCAGGTGCTGCTTGCTATGACTCCCCAACTTCTTTCCTCATGTCTGTATCTTGATAATCCCTTACCACTGTTGATACCGATGTTCTGATGTCACTGTACAGAAATGTCTATTTACTGTATTTACCTTACTTGACCCATATTTTTCCCAGAGGACAGAGCATGCTACCTGCTCTCTCATCATGGCCTGTCCTCTCTGTGAAAGGAAGAAAAAGGATAGGAGATTATTTTGCTCTTTGATCTCCTGAAACTTCTTCAGAAAACTGATTCTCTACCATAAGTTAGGTTCCCAATATTTTCATTATGTCCTCTTCTCCACAACCTTTCTTCACCGACTGTCCCCCTCCCACTAGGACCCTGTAGTCAGTCACCCCTCTGGTCCTGCTTCTGCAGCTGTAACACTGGAGTACTTCAACATCTGTACCAGTGCCCTATGTGGCATCATTACCTTACAACTCTAGCCTCCCCCGACCAGAGAAACCCCTATCCCACTAAAACAGCAGATCTGTGTAGGATCGAGAGCCTCCAACTCAATCTTGCTGGCTAAGGTGTTTAGCTAGAGGGAGGGTCAGAATTCTGGGTTCTTGTCTCATAAAGAGACATGAATGAGAGCAAGTAAAACGGAAGAGTTTATTGAGGTAGAAAAGTGTAAAGTGGAAGAGTAGAGCCCCTAGACTTGGGGGAGGAATCTCAAGAGAGGATCCCAGAAAAGTGATATACTCTGAGGTTTTTATCCATTTTCTCCAGGGCATTGCTAGATCGCTATGCTAATTAGGTGTGTAGAAAGTAGCATTCTGATTGACTGTGCCTGCAACTGAGTGACCAGAGTTAGGAGTCTTAATGCTGTTAAAATCTGTTAGAATTTTTGAGTGGCAGAGACATGTTCCACTTACATTTTAAAAGAATCACTCTGGCTGTTGTCCTGAGAGTATACTCCCAGGTGTAAGTTAGGGTTGCTTCTTCTATTTTGAAGGTTGAGCAGACAGAATGGCTGATGGGTTGGATGTGGGGTGTGAAGCCCTGAGGCACTAAGAATAAAATTACCTGGACTCTGATGGCAAAAGCTGGGAGAAGAGCAGGCTTGTAGGGAGGAGATTAAGAAGTTTCCTGCTAGCTGGGCATGGTGGTACACATTTATAGTCCCAGCACTAGCGAATCTGAGTCAGGAGGATCATGAGTTCCAGGCCAGCCTGGGCTACATAGTAAGACCCTATCTCAAAAAAAAAAAAAAAAAAAGTTCAGTGCTGACATATTACGTTGGTGGGATTTATGACACATCTAAGTGGAGGTATAAAGTAGACACTTGGACAGACTAGACCAGAACTCAGGGAAGAGACTTCACCAACACAATGGATAAAGATTGCATCTAGAACTTCTCACATCCCTGATTCATTCCCTGACACAAGGGTTGCCTTGTGACACCTACCATACTACTTCCTTGAATTATTAAACTCTCATCTTATCCAGATACATATTTCTACCTTTTGTTCTCCTAAATAGAGTTTAAGTTCCTGGTTGGCTGGGACTACCCGGTCATATTTCATTTGAACTCATAACACTTGGCATAGTTTTTGCTGCTCTGTAGTTAATTCTATTACCGTTCTGCAAGTTCACTTCCCTAGACTTTTGAAAATAAGCATGTTTAGACTGTTTCCTCTCCTTTGCAGGTCATTATGTACACGGCATTTGTATCTATGGAAATGGAGACCTAAAGTGGCTGATTAATTCACCAAGCTTGTTTGCTAACAAGTTTGAGCTGAACACATACCCCCTTACTGTGGAATGTCTGGAGCTGAGGCTTCGAGAAAGAACCCTTAATCAGAGTGAAACTGCAATACAACCTAGCTGGTATTTTTGATGGAAGCCAACTCGTGCCTCATAGGCATTTGCAATGGGAAAGAAGAGCCTTTCTTTGTAAGAGACTTTTGCCTTGGTTATATTCCGGGTTTCAGGTCCTGAAAGCTACAGGACCTTGGTACATAACTGCACCTAAAATATCCACTGGACACTGTGATGTATACTACTGGGATGGCTGGTACAGTGATCCTGGCACTTTGGCCAGTCTGGCTGTTTTTTAATGCTCATCCCTGTGTTAGGCTACTGTTACGATTAATGATCAATTCAAATGTCATCAGATCTTTGCACCGAATACCATCATATAAATATATCCTAATAGAAAGGAAAATGGTAATACTATTTAGCAAAATAAGAATTTGGTTTCTTTGAAGGCAGCAACTTCTGTAACTCATTAATAGTCACTTCAGTGCTCAGCCACACACAGGCTCAGAGACAGCTTTCTGGGTAACTCACCAATTTCCTTTAAACAAGAGCAGATCTTGAAAGGCCAGAGTGTGGCTCAATTTTAGAGCACTTCCTTTACTTTAATGAGGACACTTGCAAAACAAACAAAAAACCCACAAATAAAAACAATTTCAATTTCAAAAACAACTTCAGTTTACCTGTCTGAAGTTCTGTATTCAGTATAAAGCCATCAATAGGAGATAACATACTTTAAGACAAGAGCCACTGCCTGCCGCTGCAGGTCTCTGGGTGCCGAATATCTCTCTAGTATACTCCAGAATGTTCCCTGATCTCTCTTCCATGTTCTCCACTGAGAACACAGAAAGTCCTCCCAAGAATGAAGGTGTCCCACAGGAGAGAAGCTATGCATGGGTCTAGTCTCAGATCTGAAACATCTTGCATGAATTACTTCTGGGATTCCCTCCCCTCCCAGTGATATCCTATTTGCAAAACAGAGACCGAATTCTGCCTTGCCGGGCTGTTAACTACACCATAATATTCTCTGGGTAGCTTTGCAATGCCTGGTACTGATTGGAGTGCCTCGATTTTTTTTTTTATTGTTTTAGTATTCATATGTGCATACAATGCTTGGGTCATTTCTTCCCCCTGCCCCCACCCCCTCCCTCACCACCCACTCCACCCCCTCCCTCTCCCCCCCACCCCCTCAATACCCGGCAGAAACTATTTTGCCCTTATCTCTAATTTTGTTGTAGAGAGAGTATAAGCAATAATAGGAAGGAACAAGGGTTTTTGCTGGTTGAGATAAGGATAGCTATACAGGGAGTTGACTCACATTGATTTCCTGTGCGTGTGTGTTACCTTCTAGGTTAATTCTTTTTGATCTAACCTTTTCTCTAGTTCCTGGTCCCCTTCTCCTATTGCAGTGCCTCGATTTTTAAGAGCTTTCAATTGTGAGTGAACCTCTCTGTCATTTATCTCTCATTCATCCATCTTTATTTGTCTATCCACTCACCCATACATTCATCCCACCCACCCAGCCAGCCAGCCAGCCTATATTCAATGAATGTTTTTTTTTTTTTCTTTTATTCATATGTGCATACAAGACTTGGTTCATTTTCTCCCCCCTGCCCCACCCCTCCCTTACCACCCACTCCGCCTCTCCCCTCCCCCCCCAATACCCAGCAGAAACTATTTTCCCTTATTTCTAATTTTGTTGTAGAGAGAGTATAAGCAATAATAGAAGGAACAAGGTTTTTGCTGGTTGAGATAAGGATAGCTATACAGGGCATTGACTCACATTGATTTCCTGTGCGTGGGTGTTACCTTCCAGGTTAATTCTTTTTGATCTAACCTTTTCTCTAGTACCTGTTCCCCTTTTCCTATTGGCCTCAGTTGCTTTAAGGTATCTGCTTTAGTTTCTCTGCATTAAGGGCAACAAATGCTAGCTAGTTTTTTAGGTGTCTTACCTATCCTCACCCTCCTTGTGTGCTCTCGCTTTTATCATGTGCTCATAGTCCAATCCCCTTGTTGTGTTTGCCCTTGATCTAATGTCCACATATGAGGGAGAACATACGATTTTTGGTCTTTTGAGCCAGGCTAACCTCACTCAGAATGATGTTCTCCAATTCCATCCATTTACCAGCGAATGATAACATTTCGTTCTTCTTCATGGCTGCATAAAATTCCATTGTGTATAGATACCACATTTTCTTAATCCATTCGTCAGTGTGGGGCATCTTGGCTGTTTCCATAACTTGGCTATTGTGAATAGTGCCAATAAACATGGATGTGCAGGTGCCTCTGGAGTAACCTGTGTCACAGTCTTTTGGGTATATCCCCAAGAGTGGTATTGCTGGATCAAATGTAGATCATGTTTAGCTTTTTACAGTAGCCCCAAATTTTTTTCCAGAGTGGTTGTACTAGTCTACATTCCCACCAACAGTGTAAGAGGGTCCTTTTTCCCCGCATCCTCGCCAACACCTGTTGTTGGTGTGTTGCTTGATGATGGCTATTCTAACAGGGGAGGTGGAATCTTAGCGTGGTTTTAATTTGCATTTCCTTATTGCCTAGAGATGGTGAGCATTTTTTCATGTGTTTTTTTGGCCATTTGAATTTCTTCTTTGAGAAAGTTCTGTTTAGTTCACTGCCCCATTTCTTTATTGTTCATTAGTTTTGGAGAATTTAGTTTTTTTAAGTTCCCTGTAATATTCTGGTTATCAGTCTTTGTCTTGTATAATTGGCAAATATTTTTCTCCCACTCTGTGGGTGTTCTCTTCAGTTTAGAGACCATTTCTTTTGATGAACAGAAGCTTTTTAGTTTTATGAGGTCCTATTTATCTATGCTATCTCTTAGTTGCTGTGCTGCTGGGGTTCAATGAATGTTTCTTGAGTGTCATGATTTCCCCAGACATGTGTGAAGACAAGAAGGAAAATAAGGCTTTTCTACTCTAAAATTCTTGGGAATAACGTCACCATTAGAAAGCCTATTCCAGAGAATCTTTTTCCTTCCTTCCTTCCTTCCTTCCCTTTCTTCTCTCTGTCTGTCTGTCTGTCTGTCTCTCTTTCTCTTTCTAAAGCAAGATTTATTTTAGGATTTATTTTAGTATGACAGGATAAAGGGGGGCAGGGAGGAGAAACATTTCCTGCTCCTCCTACAGGAAATGGGAGTAAAGACTCCCAGAGAACCTTACAAAATGGTTATGTTTAACACATCCCTAGGGGTGTTATATACTGTGATATTAGGTCAAGAAGATCAGTAGTTACAAACTGAGAGTTAAATCAGAGATTATTCAAAAGAGGGGGGGAAGGAGGAAGCAGAGGCAAAAGCCTGCTGTGTCTTAGGTGCTATGCCTCTGTGTCTCATTTCATTCAAACTTGCAAGGCTCTGGTGAGGGTCACAATGATTATACCCATTTGACAAATAAATAACTGAGCCTGGGAGAGATTAACAAGCATTCGGAAACAAATCTTCTGTCTGAGAACTGGGATTCTCTTGCTGGTCTGCTCAATCCATTTCCTGAGGTAGAATATTGAAAGAAGGTAAAAATAAAGCCATTTCTAGTATACCAGAGAAGGCAGATTTTAAGAATGGTCTCAGAGAAAAAGTCCTGTCATTCAGAGAAATGTGAAATCTACTTTAGTATTGCTCTAATCCACTGAGTTCCTAAATAGTAATTTATTTTAATGAAAAACTTACTACAAATGATTATTTAATTAATTAATACAATTTTATTCCTTTGCTATAATTGTACCTGCTGAATGTCAATCATACTGAAAGGGAATGACTTTGATGTAAAATTTCCTATTACTAAAATAAAAATGGAATTGTATTGGGTAATAAAGGGTTGAAAGGTAGGGAACACAGCCAGGGGCCAGAGTGAAGTCTAAAACTTGCCTCTTTTCTACTTACCGTTCAAATGATGGCACCTGGGAAGAAGATATGCTTTACACTGGATCTTCCTCATGCAGAATGAGAGATTTTTCTGGTAGAAGGTGTTTACATGTCTGTTGTTGGTTGTCTGTTCTCTATCCTAAAGGCTTTCCTATTGGAAGAGTGTAGTGTTCGAGCAACTGGATTTCTGCTAGCCAGGGAATGCTCTGAAACTACTGTATCCATTTTTGGTTTTGATGATGTTCTATTTTTTTCTTGGAAATAAATTAATATATTGTTTTCCATCTTGGGGATATTGTGTATATTTATTTGATAGTTGGTTAAGATCCACTAAAGAGCACATTCAATAATGCAATTCTTTTAGCATCAGGAAAAAAAAAAGAGGCCAGGCAGGGTGGTGCATACCTGTAATTCCAGCTACTCAGGACTTGGGGATTGGGAGGATGGTGGTCTGAGGCTGGTCCCCAGGCAAGAATTCAAGACCTTATCTAAAAAAGTAACTAAAGCAGCTGGAGCTCATGCCTGTAATCCTAGCTACTCATAATCCTAGCTACTCGGGAGGCAGAGGTCAGAAGGATCAGGGTTTGAATTCCGCCCTGGGCAAATGGTTCATGAGACCTTATCTTGAAAAAACACATCCTTAAATAGGGCTGGCTGAGTGGCTCAAGTGGTAGAGCAACTGCAAGTGTGAGGCCCGTAATGCAAACCCAGTGCTGCCAAAAAAACTGAAGCAAGAAAGGGCTGAGGGACACCGTTAAAGTAGCACCTGCTAGCAAGAGAGAAGCCCTAACTTCAAATCCCAATGCTGTCAAAAAGAAGAAGAAGAAGAAATACGTACATACATGCATACCTGTCTAAACAACATCCATCTACTGAAAAATAATTGACCTTTCCATTTGTGGGGTGTTGGGGAGAATAACTGAGAATGATAGAGAAAGAAGGTAAAATGGAAGATCAGTTTTATTTAAACTGAGTACAATTATTTTACAACTAAAGGCAGGAATAAGTTATTTTAGTATTTGCCCAACTTATGCATTCATTTTAAACTCAAGATACTAAAAAATATTGTAATTATTTAATAGTATTATATTTACGTTAATATTATAATTGCTTGGCAAATGACAAAGTTTTAAGCAGCAGTTCAGCTGTTTGCTGAGTGAATATTGTCTCGAATGGACAAAAAGAAAATGATAACGGTTGAGGGAAATAATTCACTTAAAGGATATCTTACCATTTTAAATGAAAAAAAAATGGTGGTACTGGGGTTTGAACTCAGGGCATCCTGCTTGCTACACAGGGGCTCAGGGCATCCTGCTTGCTACACAGGGGCTCCACCACTTGAGCCACACCTCCACCCCTATTTTCTCTGGTTATTTTAGAGATTATGGTGTCTTTTTCTAGACTCTTTTGGTCTATTCATGTGCCAATACTGTGTTTTTAAAAATTAC